GACCCCTTTCCTGAGCCCATACTCCTCAGGATCCCCCAACCTCTAACCAAGAGGTCTTCAGGACCCCCCCAACCCTAACTTCAGGTTGCCAGGATCCTCACTCTGACCACAGGTCTTCAGAACCCCCTCTGAAGCATGCCAGAGAGGAGCAGCAGGTCCTGGGTCTGAGATGTGCAATCTGGAAACCCTGCACCCTGCAGCCCCTAGTTCTCCTCAGGGTTTGAGGAATTAATGTATCTGGGGCACAGCTGGCACTCAATAAATGGTGGCTACGTGAAAGCAGTGACTGTGAGCAAGTGAGTGAATGAACAAAGGAGCCTCCCAGGCCTCACACACAGTCAGTAATTCCAGCAACCCTCCTCCCAGCTGCCTCCATCACCCTCGGATGCAACCCTTTTATTCTTGGAGACAAGCAGGAGGTTTGTGAGGTGACGCTGCTTTGCATCCTGAGGTAGGGGACAGCACAGTGCATTATGGGGACAGAGGTGGGTGCAGCGTTGTGTGCATGCACTGGGCCTCAGACCTCCTCTGAGCCAAGGCCAGGCACCACCCGGTTCCCATGCCGCATGGGCTACTGCCCGCGGAGGAGCACGGGCAGTAGCTGAGGTGAGAGCTGCCAGCCTACACACCACTGACGCAAACGCTGCCCCACAACTGGGCCAGTTTGGGAGATGCATTCAGTCCCAGCGAAATAATTTGTGGACAGGATCCATAGTGCCTGCAGAGATCAGATACATGAGAGGGGATCCTCCCAGCACAAGGCCACGGGTTGCCAAAGTCTTTTAAGAACAGAACCTTTGCTTACATATCAGACAAGAGGTGTCACATGGGTGGTGGGTCTGCATCAGACCGGAATCCATTCTGAGCATAGAGACCAAGGAAATAATTCTTGCATTTTACAGTGTGGGTTTAAAGGAAACCTCACAACATACTCTGTCCAAGAAGAATATTCTTTTGTGCTACATGGACAGTAAAGTAACAGTTTTGTACCCACAGCTTTTGTAGGGCAGCCCTTGTGGGTTTCCTAGCAGGCTCTTATCATCAACTTTCAATAAATAACAACTTGGAGAGTGACTATTTTCCAAGGAAATAACAACAGTGGGCTAGACTTTCAAGTCTGGGAGATAACTGCCATCCTCTGAGGTTTAATGAGGTAATTTGCAAAGCAAAACTATCAGAAAGAGGAAAATGGTGGCCCTTGGAAAAATCAATGGCAGCCTGGGACGTGTATCTCCCTCCCTTCTGGGGAAAAATCTGCTTCCACCGCAGCCACGTCCACCTGGATGGGGAGTCGCCTCCCCCATGGTGAGGAGGCCAGACACGCTTCAGGTCAGTAGGCAGCACCCGACTTTCCAAGGACACAGGGCTCCTGGTGACTAACGCCTTGATCAAGGCCACAGGGCTAACTAGACTCCTTCCAGAGCGCCCATAGTACAAAAATAAAAGAAGCCTGGGTTCTGTCCTTGGAAAGCTCAGATTTTAGCGGAGAGATAGCATCCAAGTGTAAACAGCCCAGCCCCAGAGTTTATCAGAGGATGAAGGTCATGCTAACAGGAAGGACAGCAAGGGGCTGTGCTGTCAGGGTCCTATCCAGACCTCAGTGGCCCACAGTCCACCACCTTCCCAGGAGGTCTGTCTTGGGAGGGGACTGCATGGCTCCTTAGTTCCTCAAGTAAGTGCAGATGAAAAGAAGGGTAGGACAGGGACCCTGAGTGTGAAGCAAGAGGAACTGAGGTACATGATGACACCATGAGCCCCTACCAACCCCGTGAGGTCCTTACTACCAACCTTGTGTGCAGCAGCAAGGGCAGAGAAGCCCACTAACCACCCTAGGGTCACACAGAGAAGCAGCGCTGGGCCCCAGGGCATGTTGGTCACCAGACCCCACCCCTCTCCACCCACCAGCAAAGCAAACAGGCAGGACTGCAGGTCCCTAGCAGCACCCAGCCCAGGGGCCCCCTTTGCTCAACACCATCTGGTACCCCAGGACATGGAGAAGCTCCTGTCCTCAAAGCCCAGGAATCTGACGCCAGGCAGAACACCACGGAAACAATCAGTGGGAACAAATGGAAGGAAGGCAGTAAGCCCAGGGGTCAGGGGAGGGCAGACAAGAGACGGGTAGGCAGAAGCCCCTGTCATCTCCCACCCATTCCCCAGCTGGTTCTGGCAATGGACCCTGGAAGCTGCTCCTGTCTGGACCCCACTGGAACATTCTGGTGAAGAGCTGAGCTCTGTCCCAACAGGTTTTAGCTGGACACTAGCCCAGAGTCTTGGGCACTAAGACTCAGGGAGAAGGACAGCAACACAGCGGTGCCAGGCCCACAGGCGGCAGACCTAAGCCTGTGTGTAGGGACCTGATGGGAAGGCTGCACTCTCCCCTGCACTCCCCACCGGGCCTGGTAGCCTGCCCCGCCTAGGCCTGCACAGCCTCCCAGTGGGCTTCATGCAAAGTCCAAGGTGCAGCCCATGTGGACTCCGTGCTTTCTGAGGGCAGCAGTCTAACAGAAAGTGAGCATCATTTGCTCACAAACAGCTGGCCCGTGGCTGGGCTTGTCCATACAGCATGTGTGCGGCTACCACGGGACCAGTGGCCTCCAGTCATAATGGAGCAGCCAGTGCTGAAGCATGGGAGATGCCTGGGATAGGATGGGTGTGGGGAGAGCATCAGCGGGAAAGCACACAGACATTCTGACACTGACCCACTGCAAAAACCTGGTGGGAAGAGGGAAACAAGTGTTGTTTGTTAGTGAGATGGGGCCTCGTGCAAGTGTGTAAACATCCTCTGCCTTGGGAAAGCATCTGGCAACAAACAATGCTGTAGGATGTGCTTAAGGATGACTGCACTTTGGCCGTTCCTATTCCATGGGCAGGGGGAAAAGGGCAAGAGAAATCAACTCCATGGTTGCCCCACATCTCACCCAAAGCCCATCAGCCTCGTCTGGTTAAGCTGCAGCCTTGCAGGCAGGCAATGCCGAGGTCTGGGAGGCCAGCAACGCAGGGCTGGGGCGGGCAACACTTGTCGGTCCTGCAGCCTGAGGCACCTCTCATCCTGGGCCTCAGGGTCTCACCTCCAGTGCAGGGGGCTGAATGCCTCCTGGCTGCACAACCCGCAGCCAGCACTTCCTACGAGCGGCCTCCCCCTGCACTGGGCACTGACACTCCAGTGTGGGCTCAGTGTCCCTCCCATGTCAGCAGCACAGGGCAGCCCCCATTGTTTAAAGGCCTGGGGCTTTCCCACTTGAGCAGTGGAAGGCCCCACATGTGTGCTTTAGTCCCTCTGCCTTCCTCGAGCCCTTCACTGCTCAACGAATGCAGCAGGCAGCTCCTGCCAAGACCTGCACCTTTGCAGTGCCTCCTTCCCAGAGAGCCCCCAGGACCTCCTCCTGGCCTCCTTCAGCCCCACATCCCCTTTGGAGTAGTCACAACAAGCAGCTGGGAGACAGCCCTGGGCAAGGCGGGCAGTCTGCCTGGCCCTAAAAGCCTCCATCAGTAGGGGTGCTCATATGGATGTCTCCCCCATGGCATCCTCCAAACCTGACCAGCGCTGCCAATACCCTCATTGCAAAAGGTGCCAGGAATTCTGGTCCACTGTGTTTCAAGGGGGCAGAGGAGGGCCTGCCCATAGGCATTCCAGACTTGAGACCGGAACACATTCTTGGAGGATAAAAATTAACCAGCATCCAGTAGACTGGCCGGCAGCCCCTGTGGGCCCATCAGAAGTGCTGCCTCCTTTGCAGGCATGGCACCTTCACTGCCATTTCACCACAGCCAAACCAAGGCAGGACCCAGGTCTGTGTGGGTCCCTCAGAGAGGCAGCCACAGAGACCCTGAGAAATGGCCCTCGGAGATCATAGGCTTTGGCGTGCGATTCCCAGACTGAACCATTCATCCAAATTAAAACCATTCTCCAGAAACAGACTCAGACCCTTTTAATTGAAAATAAAACCAAGCAACCCCAAAGGCTCTTTTTTTTTTTTTAATGAAAGACATTCTTCCTGCTTTCTCATCCCATTAATCACTGAGTTTTACACAATCTGTCAAAATAGCTCAGGAAGAAGTCCCTCTTCCTTTTCCTGCAGGCCTGGTTTCTTCCCTGGGCACTAGCCCAGCCAGTGTTCAGGGACACCGGGCGGGGACATCAACAGGATCTGATGAGTGGGTTCTCAACTGCAATCTGACCACATCTATCAAGGGACTTCCAAAAGTCAGTGTCCACTTCTGGGTACATGCCCAAAAGAATTGAAAGTAGGGACTCAAACAGATACATGTACACCCAAGTTCATGGCACCGTTATTCATTATTCATGATAGCCAAACTGTGGACATAGCCCATGGGTCCATCAACAGATAAACAAAATGTGTTGTGTCCAGGCAATGGAAGAGTATCCGGACTTAAAAAGGAATGGGATTCTGACACCAGCTACGTCGGTGAACCTTGAGGATATTATGCTGAGTGAAAAAAAAGCAAAGCCAGTCACAGAAGAACACATATACTGTGCAGATCCACTTCTGCAAGGCACCCAGAAGAGTCAGATTTACAGGAACAGAAAGCAGAAGAGTGGGCGCCAGCCTGGGGGGCGGGGGTGATGGGAGTCTGTGTTTAATGAGGACAGAGTTTCAGTTTTACAAAATGAAGAGTGCTGTGTGTGGATGGTGGAATGTTTGCACAATATGAAGTACTTAACACCACTGAACTGTACACTTAAACCTGATTAAAATGGTAAATATGTTGTATGCCTGTTACCACAATAAAAACAACAGTTCATGTTCTTTGACCTCAGTCAGTCTTACAAGTCCTTTCAGGAGCATGACTGGCCCAACCATCTCCATGTGAGGATGCACATGGGCTGTCCTTGACCAGAGGACAAACAGTCCTCAGGAACACCGCCGTATGTCTACACAGCAGGCACTGCACTGTCATCAGCATTTGTGCATGTGCAGAGGTCATTACAGGCAGGGAATCTACACTGAAGCTAAAATGCAGGGCACAAAAAATAATACCTGTGACTTCGAGCAACTGGCACGGAGCAAGCGGACGAGGATAGTAGAGGCCATTTTCCCACTCCTTTAGCATTTTTCTCTTTTCCAAATCTACAGAAGGCACAGAGCCCATGAAAATTATTTTGTAGAAAAAGTCAGAAAACAGATTTGGGAAACAAGACATGTCCATTACCTGGAATCTGTCCTTACACTATGACCAATATGAATGACAAATGTGCTCTTCCCTTCTGGACCCAGGACAAGAGGCAATGCCCGCCCAACCAGCTGGGAGGCCTCCCATCTCACTCAGCCCTTAGTTCAGATGAAACAGGCAGATATAGGCCCCTTTTCCTTCACCCCCACTGCTGGCGCTCCAGATCTTTCCATAAATGAACTGAAGACACACCTGTCCCACTCAGATCATTGGGCAAACTCCAGTGTCCCTACCACCTCCTCCTGTTCCCACACAGTTTGCCCACAGGGTGATCAGATAGCGCCTGCAGGAACAGGGAAGTGGTGTTTGGGCAGGAGAGCTGGGTATGGAAATCTAGCAGACCCAGAGCAACAGTGGCCCTGGAGCCACAGGCAGGGAGGGACACCCAGGCCAAGCGGCAACCCTACAGGCATACAAAACACCACCATGGGACTCTGGTGTGAGCCCCCCAGAGGATACCAATATCCCCAGCCTGCAGGGGGAACCCTGAGGACAGTCATCAAAGGGCAGCTTGACTCCAGGCTTGTGGCTGCCAGAGCCCAGATTTTTTCCTCCCAGCATGCTGCCTGAACTTACCTTTGATCTGCGTCCAAAAGCACCGGTGGGGAGGGGGTGAGCGCTCAGGAAACCTCTGGGAAAGGTGATGGATTACAAGTGGAGGAGAGCGCCAGGACCCAGTCAATGGAGCCCTTTTGTTCCTGGACCCAACGCAGCTCTTAAAGGAATGTGTACAGAACACAGGCGCCCCCACTAATGGCCCAGTCTGGCCCCAGGGCTACTCAGCATGGCCAGATGTGGGCCTGCTCCCTCACTTCTGTACTGTGAGTGGGATGCAACACACTGCAGCTGTGTCCTGGGGAAGCAGGGAGCTGAGGCCTCAATCTTGTTTCCAACGCGATGAGCCGGCTGCCCGAGTGCCCGGGGTGCGGTGCCTCTTCTGTGAACAGAAAGGCCCTTGCAGGCCACGCCAAGTGGCTTTTCCCTCAGCCTCTTCTCAAGAGCGTTTGCTTTCTTTCACTGCTGCAACTGTTTCATTCCTATGTACTCAAAACCTCAGGTTTTCATGGTTCACAGTTTTGGAAAATGTCCACTCCAGAGGCTCCAGGTCACACCCCATTGATGCCACTGAGACACAGTGAAAGGAGGTGAGACCCTTTCACCCACCTGGAGGGTCCCTGGTGCCCATGCAGTGCAGCCTGGAGTGGCACCAACTGTTTGCCAGTTGAGAAGCCAGAATATGGACACCTACAGATACTTTCTACATCTACAAACAAAGCCAGGACTGCCGAGGGTGCACTGAGTGTTATTATGCCCAAAGGAGAGGAACAGGAAAACAGGCAGCTCGCCATACTCCATGATTAGAGCTGAGGAGGAAGTCAGGAGAGAAGGAAAGGTGAAGGCTGCCTGTCTGAGGAAGCAGCTATGGCTGGGACCCTAGCCAGCTGCGGCCTTCACCGGCCCCCATGTGGAGACCGCTGGTCTTGGCAAGAAGACCCAGCATTGCAGAGGGAACTGGGTTCTGACCCAAAACCCCACTCAGCACCACACCACCCTATCCACTCCCAAGCCAAGACCCTGGTGACTGAGGGGGACATTCACCTTTTCTGAGCAACCTCCAGGCACATGCTCTAACCCAAACAGACCTGGGTTCCAGCCAGCCCCAGCCCACCCTGGGCAAGTTATGTAAGCTCAATGCATCCCGGTACCCAACTCCAGAAGACAGTGACAAAAGCTGTTTCTTGAGAAGTTGGGTGAAGCAAACGCCCTGCACCAGTGTGAGTAATATGCACAGCTAAGGCATTTTTCCTGCAAGGCTACTAGCCTGGGAACAGGGGGTCATGCTCATGGAGGGCTCTTAGGTCTCCCCACCCAGCCCAGGGATGCTTAGCAGAGCCACGGAACCCCAGTGGAAAGAGGTTTCTCTCCCAGAGCTGGTAGCTCAAAGGAGTGCCTCCCTGGCATGCCCAGGGCCTGCTCCACTTGGGGGAATTCTTCTGATCACTGACATGGACTCCTGAAACAGAAATTTTTCATTAATGTAACCCACTTGGGAAAAAGCATATTAATATCAGATCACTGCCTTCTTCTAAAAACGTTAACATAACTCTTTGTAAGTGTCCAGGCATGCCACTGATGACCATGAGCCCCTCAGTGACACAGTGGGGCATTCTGACAGCTCCTAAGGTGACACCAGCAGGGGTGTCCCTAGCCTTCACTGGCCTTCCTATCAGCAGAGGCAGCCCCAATCAGGGTTCTGGGGCACAAGGAAGGGGACACTTAGCAGGGCTGCACCAGGGCCAGGCACACTGTGGGATTCCAGATGTCCTGAAGTGCACAAGAAGGAGATCAAGATGTCCCTGAAGGAGGGCATTCCTGTCCCATGGACACAATAGACACCCCACTGGCTGGCACTGAAATGGTGGGGATTCACCCAAACACATTCCTGGAAAGCAGAGTGCAAAGAATTCTAGAAACCTGGAGATTCTAGTTTTCTGCTTTTATAGGACAGGGATAGACATTGAGGAAGTAACTGTTCCCACATAGGCTGGCTCACAGTGATAGAATGGCACATCAGCCAGTTCTGAGGACTCAACAGGCTAGAAGATTCGAAACATTTTCCAAACCTGAGGCATTAGCTCCTGCTCAGCAGCAGTTTGATGGACGTGATGGCAGGAAGTCAGCATGGAACTGTACATCCTCCCGGCGGGACAGTCAGGGTTTCAGTGCCGGTTCCACACAGACACCCCTGAGAGGACCACCCTTGCACCTGCTCTGCTTAGCCAGAGGATAAAAGGAACTATTTCTACTGCCACAACAGTACATAAGGCCCAGACATTAGGAAGACACAAATGGTTTTAACACTTGCTAACTGCCAGGGACAAATAGCTCTAAACTAACCAGTCACCTACTTATCTAATCAACTAACCAGAACCCCTTTTCCTGAATCAACAGAGATGACTGCAAAGGCCTCTGGAAGGATGAGTCTAGTTCTAGGTCACCAGTGACCCCCATGTTTGCTGGGTCCTATCAGGCTGGTGCTCCTCCTGGACCCCACCCCACCCCAGCTCCTGCCTTCAGGAGCAGACCCTTTAGATCCAGCCACAAAACAGGGGCCTCTCCAAAAGAAAAGCCAGCGCTCGGAGACCCTGCAAGGGAGCTGAGGACCCACCAAGTGACAGGGATACAATAGAAACCTTCTGTGGCTGCAGAGGTGGTCGGGTTCAGGCTGGTTCCTGGGCAGGAATGCCCTGCACCTCCCCCACAGAGGGGTGACTGGGGGTGGGGGCGGGAGGGAACAAAGGGCTTTCCCCCAATGTGGGGGTGGGTCATGCCCATTTTATCGTCGAGAAGGAGCAGGCATAGAAGGCCAGAGAACTGGGTCTAACCCAGATCCCTAACTGCTTTGCCCTTTGACAAATTTACTCATGTATAAAATGGGCTGGATGGCAGGTCAGAAATCTTGGTCTCTCCCTTCACTTTTGTTGCCTCTCTGTCTGCTTCCCAGGCCGTTTTATTCCCATCAACAACATCTGCAGCCCAGGAGCACACTTTGACTTCATGACCTTTAGCACCCAGGGTCATATTTGCAAGAAGCTCCATTTAAACCCATTAGGTGCCAAAGGTACACTCTGTAAAAGCCAGTCAATGTGCGTCCAGGAGCACAGTTCCCTGAGGCCCCTGCTCTTTCTCCCTTCTGGGAGGTTTGTAAAGAAACAACTCAGTGGTGCTGCTAAGAACTTTGGCACCTCAGCTGAGGAATTTGCTGTCAGGAGGTGCATCCACTCAACAGCCAGGCATGCAGCAGCCAGTGGCCCTGGAGTCCCACCGCCCGCGAACCCAGGCTGCACCATCCAGTTTCTTCAACTTGGGTGAGATACTCAGCCTTTCTTTGCCTCCCTCCGCACATGTGTAAAATGCAGCTGTAATCCCAGCCCCTCCAAGGTTGTTGTTTGGCTGAGGTACAAAGAATGCCTGCCAAGCATTTAGCACAAGCAGGCTCTAAGCAGTCTTATTACCTCGCTAGTACTTTGTCTCTGAAGCCATTATTACTCGGAAATATTACAAAGTAAGACTTCTAGGACTTTGCCTTTGAGGTCACGAGTCAGGCCTCTCGGCAGCTCCCCAAGCTCCGCGTGCAAGAGGTCCCTCCACTCTCCAGCTGCAGTGGCTCCCACCTCTGCTCAGAACGCCTTTCTTAATACTTGTTGATTGATTTGCAAACATAACCTCCCAGGCCCTGAAGAAGGGAGTCACAAGGACACACAAATCTCTTTCTAAAGGCAAAGAACAACAGCACTTCAGCACAGACCAAATACACCAACATGTCAAAACGGTTATTCCGAAGGGCCACACGATAATAATGCAGTCCTAGCTTTTCCATTCCTATTTTCAGGGTATTCTAAGAGTGTCCCTGATGACCATGCATCCACGATACAAAGAATGAAAACATGAGAGGAAAATGGGGGTAAAGGGCCAGAAAGTCCAAATGTGTGGAGGAACTGGGACACCCTCAGGGTGGGGGGCCGCACCCCCCAGGGCGCCTGTATTCCTTTAACCTCCGTGGAGAATGGGGGCACTCGCGGGCACCGTCTGAAGAGTTCTCGAGTCCCTTCCCACCACACAGACCATTTCGAGTCACTTCGAGCAAAGCCCCCACTGACCGGCCCGGCACGGTGCGGCCCCGCACAGGGACTCCCGTCTCGCCGTCTCGGCGTGTCACACACGGGAGGCACGTGTCACAGATGGCCCAGGACCCCCCAGCCCGCCCGGTTCCCGCTCCTTCAGAAGTAAGGCAGGCAGCTAGCTCTAAGGGACCCCCGCCTCCTGCCCACGGCTGGCGCGGGGAGAGACGCACGCCGCCGAGCCTGCCTGCGGAGAGCGGGAGGAGGGCCGGCTCTGCCCGAGGCCCCGGACCGCTCGGGAGAGCAAGTCCGCCGGGCGCCGCCGCCACAACGCCCCGCGGTCACCGCGCCCGGGTCCCCGACCCCCGGCCGAGCTCCGTCCTCGCGCTCCCGGTGCCCCCGCAGCCCCGCGCCCCGGTCCCCGGCCCCCGGCCGAGCTCCCGTCTCCGCGCCCCGAGCCCTCCCCGCGCCCAGGACGCAGACGCCGGCGCGGGGCCGAGACAAAGAGGCGGCGGCGCGGCCCCCGTACCTGGGCGAGCGGCGGCGGGTCCCGCGGGGCGAGGGCCGAGCAGGCCAGGCGCGGAGCAGCGCAGCCGCGCGCGGCGGGCCGTCCCCCTGGCTCGCGGCCGCGCCCGCCGCAGGGCCCCCTCGAGGCGGCGCGGGCAATCGCCACCGCGGGGCCGGCCGGCCGCTCTCCCGGCCTCGTCGCCCCAATGGCGCGGCGCGCTCCGGGCGGCCTCCGCGCAGGTCCGCGGGGCCGGAGTGGGTGAACCGCTGGCCACCCGGGCCCCAAGCGTTCAAGTCGCTAGCAGGTCCCGGCGGGACGGTCCCAGTCCTGGTTTCGGCAAAACAGGTTCATTCATTCATTCGCTCACGCATTCATTCACTCATCCTGCGCTGTGATTACGGTGCCCTCAGGAACCCCTCCCTGCCCACCTGCGGCTTACTGTCCAGTCGGGGTGGTGCAAAGGGAGGCAGTGCAGCCGGGTTAGGAAAGCCCAGGGTGCTTTTCTTTAGAAACCCCACAGGGTCTGGCCAATGGAGGAAGGGGGTTAGGGAAGACTTTAGAAGTCACAGGACTTCTTGAAATGAGCAGGCTGTTGGCAGGCCAGCACCAAACAGGAGAGAGGGCCCCAGGCAGAGGGGTGCTGGGAGAAGGAAGGACAGAGAGACTCTGGCAATGTCAAGACCCGGATGGCCCTGGGTCAGCCTCTGCCTCAGTTCCCCCATTGGTGGAATCTGGGAAATGGACACATGCTCTTAAAAATCATGTAAAACACCAGCCCTTCTGCAGAAGTAGACGTGCTATTTGTCACATACAAAAGAATGGTTTTATCAACACTATCCTGAGGAATTAAGGATCCCCCGACACAAGGAAGACATCTGTGGGAAAGCATCCCACCCTAGGGCCCACAGGACAGGGTCATGGCTTGTATATGCCGCCCTTACCAAGAGCTCAGAATCCCAGCTGGAGCAGGGCTGGGCATGTCTTGGACTGCTGTTACCCGGAACTGTCCCTGCCCCCAGGGTCCTGCCCTGCAGGGAGCAAGGAGAACAGGACTGGGCAGGAACAGTGGAGAAACAGAGGAACAAATTATCCCCGGAAGGACTTTAAAGTTGCTTTCAGAAACCTGAAGGCCCTGGGTCCAAAGTGGGTCTGGGGAGACACATGCAGAAACCCCACTTTTCATCACCAAGAACAGAGGCCCAGCCCCACTCAGATGCCACTGCTACCAGCCACACCTTTTCAGAATGACTTGAGGAACCCAGCAATGCTCCAGAGGGTAGTGGAACTTCTCAAGAAGTCAAAAGCACATGACTGTGGTCCTCAGACTGAGCTGGGCATTCATTCCCTGAGGCAGAGGCTTCCTGGCACTGAGCCCCAGGCCTGGGAAATGGAGCAGACATTTTGCTTGCCTTCTAGAAGACCTCTTCCCCCTGCCCCCTGCAGGGTACCTGCTGAGGTAAGGCAGGGACTGCCACCTGGACAGGAGCCTCAAGGAAGGCATGAAAGAATTCACAGCCTGCTGTCCCTAAGTGGGGGTGAGCCTGGTACTCTTACTATACCCTTTACTGATAGGGGGACAGGCTGAATTCCTAGGCAACTCACCCAAAGTCACTTAACCAGTCAGTGACATAACTTGGTAAGAACCTAGAACCACCTGGCCAGCAAGCCACTCTCACCATCTCCCAGTGGCCCTGCTCCACCCACCCATCCCACACAACTGTGCTGAGTTTCTCTTTGCTTGAACACCTCTCCCCCTAGACTAGAGGTGCACCCTCAGACCCACAGCCAGGAACTGAGCTAATGAGTTTGCCCAGATCTCACCACTGAGAAACTGGGGCTCTTTGTCCCTATCAGGTTGCCCCTGCTAAAATCTCTATCCTCATATCACTCCCCTCAAAGCCAGACCATCCTAACAACCCAGATGTCCCTTGCCAGCTGGCCAACCCTCATTTCTGGGACTGTAGTGACTTGGCTCCTGTTCATGCAAACAGTTCCCTTCTGTCTGCACATGTCCTGCAGCATTCACAGAAGGGACAAGGCATGCTGCAACCGGTGTTCCTGCACATCCTCTGTTAGCGGTGCAGCCAGTTCCCCAGTTCACCAAAGTGCAGGCACCCACTCCTGGCCTGAGCAGGGCTCCTTCCCAGGGCCAGGGCCTCCCCACTTCCCAGGACGCAACTTTGAGTTTCCAAAAATTTAAACAAAAACAGGACATGTGGCAATTGTGTGGAAAAGGGGGTGCATATTTTTTCCATCTGTACCCATCCAAAAATAACTCAAATCTGAAAACAGAAGTCTCAAACCAATTTAGCTGAGGAAAAGCAGCCCTAAGCCAGGAGCCCATTCTCTTCTCAGCAGTGAAGGCTGTGGGAGGAGTTGGCCTGGGCAGGAAGCACTGACCCCCTCATCCCTCTGAACTGCTGTCTGCTGCCTCATTCTTGCTCCTTGCAGCCTGGAGTTCTGAAAGAACTTACTGGAAGCTTGTCATTGTCATGAAGATGTTCTTCTGACCATTTCACATCCACAGACCAAAGGAAGCATGTGGACAATGTGGACAATAACGTGGATATTTTTTCTTTTTCCTTACACTGAAAATTAGTATTTTCCCAAGAGCTGCTGAAAGGGGCAGCAGGAGACTTGACAGAAGATGTTGTTCCCTGGCCCCTCAATGCTGTGGGGAAGTTGTGGCATGGAATTTGGGGCACACAAGCCTGGGTGGTGCAAGATACCATGCCCCCAAGGCCTCTCTGGGACAGATCCCCCTCCTCCCTGTCCTGCTCTGCCAAACACACAAATCCGTATCCACAACCCAACACCTTGCCTTGTCTGTACCCCATAGGATTTCAGGAGTCTGTGGAAGTTGGCATCCTCTCCCCCAAAATACACATGCACACCAACTTCCTCAACGAGGTCTCAATCACACTCAGGAGCCCACTGCCTGGACACAGATGAGCTCTCCATGCCGCTGGTGAGGTCCCCAGAGAGGGGCTCTGAAATAGGGGCCTGAGCAAGGGGAGGAAGGTGAAATGAATGGGTGGCGAGGCTGTGAGCCAGGCTGACCAGGAGTGCTGGAACTGCCCTGGCCCACACGGGATGCGGGTTATCCCAGGGAGGGGGCAACCTCAGACAAGGCCATCTTTGCTGGCAGGGTTGTCCCCGAAGGAGGCTGATGGCCAAGGACTGCCTCCCAGTGGCTGGGCCAACAAGTGTTCGCTGAAGAGGACCAGGGAGCTATTGAGGGCTCGCTACCTCCGGCTGGGATGCTTTGCCCCAGAGCTGAGGCTCCAGCAGGAGCCACTGCACAGCTTCTCAATTCTCTCCCCCGGTTTAGAACAGGAGGGTTGCTGACCCTGTTTCTTCCCAAATGGGACTGGGCTCTGTCCCGCAGGAGGCTGGGGTCGTTTCCCTTCCCCAGTGAGGAGCCTGCCCACTCCTCACACTAGCCCCACCTATGTGGCACTTAGAGCTGGAGCCCAGGAAACCCAAGGCAAACAGCACAGGGGAAAACCTGACAAGGGCAGGGGAAAAAGAAAGACGTGGAGCGTATGAGCTCTGGACACTGAGGCTTGTTGTGTAAGCCTGACAGCCGGGCTTTCCGACCCTATGGCACACATATCCCTAATGGTGTCAGGATAGAGGATCCTGAGATGTGGAGCCCAGGGGAGGGAGCAGTTCCCGAAGGAGGAGCTTCTCATCTGGTCAGCAGCGGGTCCCCTTGCCCGCCCTCCCTGTGCCCTGGCCCACCAGCACCTCTCTCTCTCACAGCATGCGTGGGCCCCACACCACCCAGATCCTGCATGGCTACTGGTGGAGCCAGTCCAGGGAGCCCTTCATCACCCTGACACTGAATGCAGTAGAGCCCAAGTGATCCTCGGCATGCCCTCTTGCCCCCTCCCTGGGTGTGCCTTTGCACCCTCAGCATCAAATCCACTGCACAAAGACCCACTGAGAGGGTCTTCAATGGAGGGATGTGCTGAGTAATGATGGTTGTGGAAGAATGGACAAATGAAGGAACTCTAGAAACCCCAGGAGTGCCGGGGACTGACATTCAGGTTGGTGCCCTGGAGAAATGACATGTCCTCACCATACCAGCTCAGATGTGTCAATTGCCACCTTCCAGTTTAGAAAAGGATCCCAAATGGGAAAGGGTGAGGGTGCCACAGAGAACTTCCTCCACCCAAGGTCAGAAGAACTGAGCTCCAGCTGGCCGGGGAGAACCCAAGGCCACAGGAGTTAGCAGCCTTTCATCTCACTTCCTTTGGAATGATGTTTTATTTAAAAGGCCACTGGAAACAGCTAGAAAGCAGTAAGCCCACTCACTGTTAGCACACCCGGCATCTGGATCCTGGCCTGATCCCTGTGAAGAGGAGCCTGGAGCCCCTCCCAGTGCCAGGAAGTGAGGAAGCGCTCAGAGAACAAAAGGGTGGCCAAACCTGTAGCCATCTGAGTGAAAAAATAAATGACACAGTTCTGGGTTATAATTCAAATTATACTTTATAATTCAAAGTATAAATACCCATGAGACCTCACTGAATAAATGAACGGGAGAGGATAGGCAGAACTCCTGAAGAATTCAAATCGTTTATGGAGACAGCTCCTCCCTCAAGAAGACCACCCCTGACTGTGGCTGGACTTAGTGATATCCTCCCGTGAGGGGCTGGGAAGGGCAGGGGCCGGGAGCCACTCTGTGGAGGCCGAAGCTGGTGGACAGGCCATCAGCCAGGGGTCAGTCGGCAGTGATGAGTCGTGTGAGAGCTTCTGTCCTTGGCATGCGTCAGGAACGGCACCGTACCTCTGCAGTTTTCCCAGTGAGCCTTAACTCCAGCCTCACTGTAAGGAAACACCCGACAAATTCCAACTGAAGGACAGTCCACAAAACACCTGGCCAGTGCTTGGCAAAACTGTAAAGGTCACCAAGAACAGGAAAGTCTGAGAAACTGTCATGGCCCAGAGGAGCCTAAGGACACATAAAGACTCAATGTCACCTGGTGTCCTGATGGGGTCCTGGGACAGAAAAAGGGCAGCAGGTGCCCAGGAGGGACTCCGAATACGCTTTGGACTCTGGTTAGCAGTGACGTGCCACTGCTGACTCCTGAGTCAGGACAGCGAGGCATTGGAACAAAAGATGTTAGCAACATGGTGATGGTGGGTGGGGGGCAGTTACCCAGGAACAATGCTCTGTCTTTCCAACTTTTCTGTAAATCTAAAGTAAGTCTTAAATAAAAAGTGTATTTTTAAAATTGCCTTTGGAGCTGTAGGAAGAAAATGCCTTCTTTAAAGATGAGATTGCAGCTGTGCTTCCCTGATTGCAAATATCCAAGGGTGAAGATATCCCAGTGGACTCCCCACTTCGTGCCCTGGATAAGGCGAGTCCCCCCAAATTCCCCCATAAACCTCTGGCAGCAAGGAAACGTGGCTACCTTGCTTGAGAGAGCTAGTCCCAGCCTGAACCTGTACAAGTGTGAAGCAACTGTCTTCAATTTCCCCCCGTCACATATGCGCACCTGCTTAAAAGCTGGGGGTTTTCTTATATGACAGACTAGCTTTATTCAAAGAGAAATGAAATTTCCTGGACAAAGCATCTGTGTAATGACACCATTTCTGATTCTGTGTCTGTGAATCCCCTCCGTCTACATCTGAGCATTAATAATGGGAGCTATTCAAGACATCATTGTGAAGAAAGAAAGGACTGAGTCAATTGCTAAACCATACATATCATGACTACACTTAGATACAGGGATATTAATGAAAATCTAGAATATAACATCTGATGTTCATCCTGTGGACATAAAAAAATGCAATAATCCATTTTACGAAATCAGCAAGGAATTTATAGGCAGTGTTCTATAATAAAAATGACAAATTTGACTTCAGACAAATCATCTTCCTTTTCCTTTATCCTGTATATGCATTGTCAACCACATCTTAATCTGTGATTTATTCAACAGAGGCTGTTAAGGGTTGAACTGCCCTCCCACCCAAAATTCCTAAATCGAAGTCCTAACTCCCAGGACCTCAGAATGTGTATTGGAGATGCAGTCTTTAAGGTGATTAAGATAAAATCTGATCCAGTGTGACTAGGTCCTTATAAGAAGAGATGAAAACACAGACGAACACAGAAGGTCAAGCATTTGAGGACGCAGGAGGAAATAGAGTCTATATGCCCAAGACAGGCTTCAGCAGGGCCCACCCCGCCACACGGTGACCTTGGGTGTCCAGGCGCAGGCCCGGAGAGATCAGCGTCTGTGGTTTTAGCTGCCGGTCTGTGATATTTTGTTACCTCAGCTTTAGCGGACAAAGACTGGCCCCTACTGTTGGGGCTTAAAACACATCCTGGGGATCAATTCTTTCATTCATTAATGCATACATGCATTCATGCATCTGTGCAACTGCAGGGGCCAAGGGCAGGCCACCCCAAGATGTGCCACTATGACATGAAAATTATTTCAGAGCTGAAAACAATCAATGCCCAAAAGACTCAGAAAGAAACTTTTACTTCTCCCACCCCCCAACTGACTGAAAAGAATTTAGACAGAAGACCTGCTCCAGGAAGAGAGCTATCACCCTAGATAGCTATATTATAATGTAAACTAGGCGTGGTAGACTGGGAGGGATGTGGCTAAGTCTGTTAAAATTCCTCTCGGTTCCCCATTGTTTCTGTGTGGCCCAGCCAAACATTTGTTTACCAAACATTTACTCTTTCATATTCCTGTGAATTGCTTCCCTTTTCCTTTGAAGTCTCAGGCTCCTACCCGCCCTCTCCTTGGTTCAGGATGACAGAAGTCTGTTCTTCTCCCTGTCTTTGGAACCTATGTCTGTGGGGTCCCCACACGTACATAATTAAACTTTGTTTTTTCTCCTGGCAATCTCCTGCCTCCTGTCAACTGGATTCTTAGACCAGCTAGAAGGACCTCGAGGGGTGGAGGAAATTTCTTCCTCCCCGGTGGTTGGCGTAGACCGCAGGAGACTCCCCATGCTCGCCCTGAGGCTGCTGCAGCCAAGGTTCTGGGACAGCTGACAACAGCTGGCAGTAGGTGAGGTTTCTTACCATGTCAACCTCCTGGAATCCCTATCCACAGAGTCTGATGACATGAGAGTGGTGAGAGTCTTCTTCTAATTTTGGGTGAGCAGGAGAAAATATTGTGGAACTAGTCCCCTGGGCTTGGCGACACTTGGTAAATTTGATTGAGGATGCTTGCTGACCCATTTCCTCCTTTGTCTTTTGTGTCATTTGTAAGTGTGCACAGGAAGTAAAGGCTGTTGCTAAGGGAAAACTTGGAAACCAGAACCACAAAACTGGTGGGCAGCGGTGGTGCAGCGCAAGGCTGTTAGGGTACGTGCTGCCTCACAAAGCCCTCCATGGTGGGGTGAGTTGGTCAAGGAACTGTTAGATGGACACCAGGTCACCTGCCAACCTCAAGAAAAGTTCTGTGCAATGAGGCAGAATCACAATCCCCAAACCCAGGGAATGCCTCTGCTAGGAGTTAGTTTGGCTTCTGAGGCCTGTGTTTTGGCTAAAGCTGTTAATGTGCCTGTAAGTCTCCCATGGGTCTTGTTGCGGGTCTTGAGAGCTTGGCCTTGAATGAGAATGCCCTCTGGCCTCCACCACCCGGGGGGTGCACGTATCAGTGCACCTGGTTGCAGGCTGTGGGTCCGAATTTCTGTATCCAGCTGTGCCAGCTCTCCCGGAAGGTTGTCATAAGAGGTCCCAGCCCCTGTGGGGCTTTTGTCTCCAACTTGGCTGCTTGTTAGAGCTGGAAAAGTCCCATTTAGTGACCCCTGCCCAGTGTCCCAGATTCCAGGTCTGTGACTAACATTTACTCTTTCATATTACTGTGCAATGAGGCAGAATCTAAGAAAGCTTTGCTTTCTTAGACTCTGCAAGTGAACTTTGTGGATCCTGGGACTGTGTCATTTTTGCCCTCTAAGGACATAAATGGTCCCTCGTCTCTAGTATCTCTGGTTTAAGCCTGGAAAACTCATTCTGGGTCTTTGCATAAAAAGGCTTATTGGTTTGAGCCACTATTAAGATCCTACTGGTCAATGGCCATATGATGGGTCCTTTAAATTGACTATATTTGAAAGAAAAAGGCTCTCAATTGTCTTATTAGTATAACAGCTAGCCTTAGGGATTCCTTTGACAAGGTAAAAGAACTGAAATTCAGCTTAAAACAAAAATTATGTCCACATCCAACAAAAACTACCCTTAAAATCTCACCCTAACCCCTTCTCCTTAGTTTAGGAAGACTTACATACCTCACTGTCCCTGGCTGTCTTCAGAACCCCTGTCTATGGATTCCTGCACTACATAATTAAACTCTGGTTTTTTCTCCTGTTAGTCTCCTGTCAGTTGGCTTCTTAGACCAGCTAGAAGAACCTCAAGGTATAGAGGAAATTTCTTCCTCCCCAACAGTACAGATGGCTGGGCACTAAGCTTGGGTCCTTTTAGTTCAGGTAGATTTGAGTAAGAATCTTGGGCTGCACCACTCCATCACTGTGCCTCTGTTTCCCAGTCTGTAGAATCATGTCCAGGCTGAGTCGCACTGGACGGACTGAGGGGTGTTCCTGCAGCCCTTTACTCCAGCCTGATATAGGGGCTGCACCCTGGACCCCTGGCGGTTGACTAGGGGTAGAGCTGAGGGCCGGAACCAGGGGTGGCCCTGGTCTGATAACCAGCCCCTGTCCTACAAGGACGTTACTGGGGAGGCCTGGCCCAGCCTCTTTTTCCTGTTTCTAAAAGGCAGGTCAAAATAAATACCAGAGCAGACAGACATTGGCCTGAGGCTCTGTGGTTTTGCTTTGTTATTTTGCACTTAAACAATTATGATTTACAGAAGGAATTACTCAGGTATCTATGTGCCCTGAAGCATTTTGCAGACCTGGGTCAGGTGACAGGCCAGACCCCATGTAGAGAAAAGCCCTATGCTGCCACCCCGTCCCTTTGCCTGGCAGGGCCTCTCCTCCCCCTTTAGAGTCAGAGTCATGATTCTAGCAAACCCCCTGGTAGGCGTGGGCACTTCCAGCCTCTGCTGCCCAGTCCTCCTCAGCTACCTGCCCCTGGCCTAGACCATCACCACCCAGAGCTCAGCACTTGAGGGACAGAGCTCGCCCACAACATTCCTCCTACCTTGAACTGTTTATGCACTTTGCACAATGTGCCACAGTTGCTAAGAATGAGACCACAGTTTCATAGTTTTCTGGGAAATGACAGTTTTCTGCTGACAAATGGATGCTAGCAGGGAGAGGGAGTGTTCCTCTTGTCTGGTTTCTGAGCCAGCAGCTGTCCCCTGCTATGTGCAGGCCCCCCAAATGCTATCAGGGCTCATGAGCTCAGGCCCTATTCTGATGGCAGTGTAAGCCATGGTGATGAATTTTAAATTACTTCAATTCTCTGTCTGTGTGGGTTTTCTTCACAACCTCCCAGAACTAAAAACACTCATTGAATCAAAGTAAACATTATCCATTAGCTTTATCCAGATTTTCTCCCTCAGGTACCATCAAAAGAAGAAACTTCTAACTGCAGGCCCAACTCTGATTCTGCACATCAGAGAAGGGAATCCAGAAACTTCTCTGCAGGGACTAGACCAGTTCCCCTGCCCAGAGAAGGCTCTGTGATTTAAGTCAGCATGTGGTTGACTCCCAAGCTCAGTCTGGGACCTGCTGGCACAGCCTGGGTGGGAGCAGTTGGCCAGGAGGAATCTGAGATCCCAAAGGTAAGACCAGAGGGGGGCTGCCATGGTGTCGAACCTGTTCTCTCTCGCCTCCTCTTCCTCTCCTCTCCTCTCCTCTTGCCCCCTCTCCCCTCTCTACACTCATGAATTACTTATAAAATGGTACTAGTTTACTAAGGGTTAGTCAATATGAGATTCTTTCTAAATACATAATCCTTTGAAATTGCAGCATATAATTTATTTATAAAAAATGTACGTGTAATATCTCAGGAATGCCTCTGTTGCTGTAGCCAGGGCCTGCACCACCCCTGGCTGAACTCAGCTACAGGATGCCGCCCGAGTGGGGGTGGGGCAGCACTGGGGCTGGCTGCCTATAGCCCCAACACTTCCCTGCCCTAGAAAGTGTGCTTCCTGTGGTTTGGGGTCTCAGTACTGCACAGCATGCATACCTATGACAAAGATAAAGGCCACTGAGTATGCTCTTCCTTTGTGTAGATGTCTCTCTGCAGAGCTGGGGGCCTGTACATCCCCTAACTGCTATATTCTCATGCTTGGAGGACCCCCCTATGAGCTCCCAGGGAACACAGCCTGGAGCCAAGCAGGACACCTGGATTTGATGAAATCCTAGAGTGGCCAATTTGCTGTGTGGTTTTGATAAGTTAATCAGCCTCTCTGTGCCTGGTTTCCTCTTCTGTAAAAAAATGTCTGTGATAGCAGAACCAACCCTGTCGAGCTGTGGTGAGCTTAGCGGGTCAGTGTACAATCCCTGCTCCCTTTAGAGTGGTATCCGGCTCTCAGCACCTGTTTTGGCCATCATGTCTGCTCTCCAGGCTCCCAGAGCTGACCTCATCCAGGATATGCCTAGGCTCAGTTAGGTAGGGTAGGCAACAACACAAAGGCAAAGGTCATTTTTCCTCCGACCCTGCACTTCACCACCAAAGGAAGCTGGCTCGACTCCCAAAACTGAACCTTTTCACCTCTGCCGCTCATCCCCTCACCAAAACCTCTCTAGCCCCGAGGAGTGGATTCCAAACTTGCTCACCATCCAAATCAGGCTGGGGGAGGAGCAGTTAAACAGGCAGATTCCTGAGCCCAGCTCCGAATTCCAGGGCTGGGTCTAGGAATGTGCTTCAAAAAAAAGTCCCCATGCCCTTGTAATTACCGCCTTAAGAAAGGGCTCTGTATGTATTTAACAGAGCTTTGTTATCCTGAGGCATTATTAACCAGCCCCTCTTTTCTATTTAAAGTCTGTCTTTCTTTGGGAAAAAAGCCTGTAGATTTTAAACTAGCTCAAGAATTCAGATGGGTGTATCCCCAACAAACCTTGGGAGGAATTCTGACCTGCCAGATTCCTTAACTGAACTCACTGTGGTGGGGCCTCCCCACACAGCACCTCCAGCGCCATGCCTGGTCTCCCAGATGCTGGGGCGAGGGGCGGGAGAAGACCTAACAGATAACAGAGCTTGAGGACCCAAGAGGCACCCAGAACTAGGTAGTATGTTGGTTTTCAGAGAAGAGGTTTGGAAGGAGCTTGACTAAACACCCACTTTCCCCCATTGGGCAGAAGAGTCTCTAGTATGTGCCCCCTCACCCAGTCCTCTGGGAAGTCACTACTGCTGGCCCCTGACCACACTCACCCTGAGTTTCTCCATTACTCCCCAGGGTACATGCAGCTGAGGACCCCAGCCTGCAGAGGGAACAAGCAAAGCCAGCTTGCTCAGTGGCTGTCAACATTACCCTGAGAAATGTTAGGTCCCCCAGATTGCACTGAGAAACTCTGAGCTCCCCCCTGAAGCTTACCCACACCCTCCAGATTATACCCTAAAAAACCTACCCCAAGAATTGCCCCAAGTAACCCCAGACCTCCTAAGGTTGCCCCTGAGAAGGCCCAGGCTCCCTGAGAAACCCCAGGGCACCAAAGTTTGTACCCCAAGAACCTCTTGGCTCCCCCCGGGTGCTCACTGAGAAACCCCAAGCCCCCAAGGCTATACCCCAATAAACCTTAGCCTCTGATCATACCTAGCAAAACCTCAAAACTTCCAGGTTGCACCCCAAAAAACTCCAGAGTCTCTCAGGGTTGTACCTTGAGAAACCCCAAGCCTCCTCGGGTTTGAACCCCACAAACTACCAGGGACATCAGCGTTGTCCCCTGAGAAATCTTAGCCCCACCAAAACCCTCCAAGTTTGCTCCCTGAGAAATCCTGGACTCCCTGGATTGCCCTGAGAAACTCCAGGGACCCCAGTGTTGACTCTGATTATTTTGTGAATCATATATTTACTCCCATAGGAAAACAGTGTCTCAGTCCCTGTGCCCTCTGCCAGTCTCTGCTCTGCAGACCTCAGCTGGAAGCCCCCTCATGACTCTGTCCATATCTTGGAACTTCCAGGGAGGGGTCATTAATCAGGAGCTTCAAGTTCTGGCCTGACCTCTCCTAGCCATGCTATTGACCACTAACCACAGGGCCAGGGTGGCACTATTGTTTTCAGCAGCATTCATTTCTATTTCTAATTAGGTAAATAAATGTCCAGTGATGTCACTGTTTTCCTTCCATTTGAGAATTCTCCAGCGTTTGGCATGAAGCACAGTGGTTGGAAATTCCAAGGCTCTGCCCCGTCTTCCTAATGTCATCCCAAGGCCCCATCAAGAAAAACAGCAAATAATTCCTCAGAAATCAGGCACCCAACACGCCGTCACAACTTAGAAATGATGAATCCCAGCCTTCCAGAGGTTTCCAAGGGTTGCAGGTTTCCACTGTGCAGGCCCATGGTGTGCTGTGCACACTCAGACTGATGCTGTCTGACTCCTGTAAGTCAGATACCTCACTAAGGAATGCAAAGCAGTTCAGTAATTTATTGATGATGAAATTAACCTTCCTCCCAAGGTTTGGCAGGCTCCAGAATTCATTTTAGGGGGAGAATTCCCATTCTGCACAGGAAAGCCACCGACCCTGAGAACATCCCCCACACCTGCTGTGGCTAGCTGTGAGTCCGGCTTTCCTCAGCCATGCCTGCCAAACTGCCAGGAGGGCTGGTGGCCACTGGAGCGCCTACACCTCTGGCTGCCCCGAGGCTGCTGGGCTATGTGTGTCCAGCCAGGCACCACCACTGATCTTCATGGCTTCACATAGGAAGAAATATTTTGAATTGGAACATGTACTTTCATATACAGAAGTTACAGATTTGACATTCCAATATCAGGGCTCTTGTGTGTTTCTGGTTGTGTAAAGGGTTCTATTTAAAAAGCTTGCAACCGTTCATCTGAGGTTCCACTGTGTGATTTTCCCCAGCAGTGAGAGCTGGGGCCTCAGGGTGGGCGACTTGCCGGATACGGCGTTTTCCTTCTGCAGGTCAGACACCCGACTCAGTCCCACTCAGCCTGCCATTTCCCTGGCTGTCCCCATCAAAAATGGCTGCACACACTGTTTGAAACCTCAGACTTCTGAGTGTCCACCTCTAATCCCCACCACAAGACTTGGTCAAACAGGCCTGGCTTGCGTGCAGTTGAAAGAAAGAAAACGTTAAAAAGAAAGAAAAAAGTGAAAGGGGTTGTAATAAAGAAGGGCCTTCCTCCAAATGCGTCTTGATAATAACTTTCACTCTCAAGGTGAAGGGCAGGAAGGGGAAAGATTCCTCTGCAACTTCATTTTAATGAAGTTTATTGAGCACTAAAGTCAGTGCTGCCCTCATGTGGCCTGAATTCAGGCCCCAGGGCCCACTGAGCAGTAGGGTGACCTGCAGGGACCCTGGTTGGCCTGCTGGCACCAGCTCTCCTGAAATGAGCTGCTTTAGCTGGCTTCCCCTGGACCCCCAGAAGTAGGTGGTCATCTTGCACTTCTGCTCCTGGGTGGGACCTTGAAGACACTGCTGCTGGGATTCTACACCCAAGTTGCCAGGGACATGGCCTGGGATTCCAGTGCAAAGGTGTTTGCAGCAACACTGTTTGTAACTATGAGAAATGCACCAATAGGTGAAGGACACAGTGGGACAGGGAGCAGTACCTGCGCTTTCAAAGCACTGGGACATCTGCCCTGTTCAGTAGCTTATGCGGTAGGCGCTATTGTCATCTCCACTGCAGAGGGTGATCTGAGACTCAAAAGTGGTGGCTTTGAGCTCAGCCAGCGCCGGCTCCAAGCCTGCCCTCCCTCTTCAGGGCACCTCACGGGGTGCCACATGATTGAAACTAGAGGCACTCATTGAAAACAATGGTTTCGAAGACTTTTCTTAGCAGGAGAAGGTTTTGCTCAAACCACCTGTAGAAAAGATGTGCTTCCATAGATAAAAGTATGCCTAAAGAAGTCTTAGAAGGAGGAAAGACGTAGAGAAGACTGCTTACGATTGTTGGTCTCCATTTTTCCTTAGTTGTCTAGGATTCCATCATGGGCTTGCACTGGTATGAAAAAAAAGCCACAATTTGAAAAAAACACATTTGCCAGACTTTTAAAATGATGGGTCCTTGTTGCATTGGGTCTCTTAGCTTCCGAGAGATCCGAGAAGGGTTGCTCTGTATTTTTCTTGGCCTGTGTAACCGCCTCCAACCCCTACTCTGTTTAAATGTAGAAGGTATTTCTAAGTAGAGCAGCTTTCACTTCTCCAAACATAAGTGACATGAAGCAGATTTTTCACTCCAGTCAGCTCCAGCCACATACTTGGGATGCCAAAATTCTTCCAAACAGCACGGAAAGTCCCAATGAACAACCTAGATGTCAGCCTCTAAGTCAACAGTTTTACTTACCACCATTCCTTTCTAAGGTGAATCTTGTGAATTGTTCACACTATTGAATCCATAAACTGCACAGCGCCAGTCCCATGAGGCCCTGCAGGGAGCAGAGCACCTCTGTCCATGTGACTGAGGGGCTTTGTGGACCATAGCCCCTAGTGTGTTCGGTCACTCAAGCTCACTATGAGTTTGTCACAGGAATGAACTGCCAGAGATGAAAGTGAGACTGTCTGGCCTGGGACCTGCATTCAGAGACTCACATGTAGTTTCACATGCTCCTAAGCTCCGAGGCACTTTCAGGGACATGGGGTCCCAGACCTGAGGCGCGTGTCCTCTGGTGACCTGCCCCAAGTGGAGAGCTTGCTGATCAAGCCAACCTCAGAGCAGATATCCTGCATGATAACCAGAAACCCAGAGCGAGGGCCTCTCTGGAAACTTTGTTCCCAGTCCTTAACTTTGGTCATGGTCTTTAAAAGAGCCACCCTGAGTGGGGCACCCCATAACCTGCTCACATGTGGTCTCCACCTGGGCTAGCTCACTGGTGGTCAGAGGACAGGTACCCTCAGCACAGGGACATCCAGGGGCCAGGGCTGGATCGGGCCTGCAGCTAGGGCCTAAGGTTTCTCCACCTCTCACTCCCCGACTGGCAAGAAATGGCTCTCTTTGTGGTTCACCTCTGGGGCATGCCCGCACTCCAAGGGTGTACTTTGCTTTAGTAAGCTACTCTTTGCTTACCTGCTCAGTCTGCTTTGTGAATTATTTCTTGATCAGAGGCAAGAACCCTCTCCTGGGTTAAGGTCTCACCTGGCGTGTGGGGAGAACTCCCAGGATTGGATGTCCTGACAAGGTCAGATGTGGAGGGTGGAGACCTCAGGTCGTGGGGAGAGTGCTGAACTGAGCTGCAGGTGGAAGTAGCTGAGATGGCTCACAGCGAATGGGCTGCAGAAGGGATGGCTGGTGCCAGTCCCCAGGGACTGCTGCCAGGCTCACTCCTCTGCAGTCCTGAGCCCCGAGAGAGGGGCCAAGGCGCTGGGAGAAGTATGGGCACCTGTAAGGGTGTAGTCCAGCCCAGCCCAGGCAGGAAGGAGTGGAGACAGTCCTGAGAGCCCCCCTGCCCGCCTCCCTCACCAGCAGCTGGGCTTGGACAGTCATGGTGGTCACAGTCAGAGCAGGGGTCTGAGCCCACAGGATCAGGGGCTTAGTGATGGCCTCTGTTCTGTCCCTGTGGACGCTGAACCTGAACATACAGTTCCTTGTTCACTTACGCCTTCACTAGGCTCTCCCTCCACAGTTACCTTATGCGCTGCCCAACCTTGTAAAGATCATTAACCCTGACTTGCCCTTTGCCCTCTTCTCTGAGTTTGGTTACAGGACTGGAGGGGATGTTGGCTGATAATATCTACTTTGCAGAGTTGATTACCAGACGAGGAGTCAACACGAACCATCCCAAGACCCCTCAGGTGGCACCAGGAAGATGGAATTGGCACATAACTCCGAGAAGTTACAAGTCCCTGCATTTCCTGCCCTGACCCTCACATTCCTCTGCCAATAATATATCACCCATCCCTCTGCCCAATGGGTTAGGCAGATTTAGGGAAGGTCCCTGCCTTCTCGTTGGGCTTCCCTTCTGATAATAAAGCTTTCTCTGCTTCAAAAAGAAAAGGAATGGACCTCCAGTGGATAGGCAGAGTCAAAAGACTGAAGCATATTCAAAAGACCTGTGTGAAAACATCACCCCCACACCTACAGTTACAAATCCCTAAGTTCTATCCAAACAGCATGTTCTGCTGGAGCTGAACTCATTCACTCAAAACTTAGGAAGTGTTTTGCTCTGTACAGTGCTCGGGTTTGTAGAATGCTAAAAGTAGACATGAAGCATTTACATAATCATAGTTTTTCATGCCCCCATTGGAAGTGGTAGACTACTTGCTAATAGAATATCAGTAGGTGAAAGAGAACAAAGGTCAATCAATGATGTTGCTGAACCTTGTAACATTAAAAAATTCAGAATTCTTTAGACATTTTCCAACAAATTTTCTCCTGAACTAAAGTTACTCAGCCTCCATTCTCTTAAAGAGTGTGGTGAGTGAAACTTTGTTAGGCACTTCTCATGTGCTGGACCCCATGTGAGTCACTTCACAACTCTTCAAGGGGCAAGCCTCTTGTGATGAGAAATAATCAGAAATGCCTGTTGTTTCTAGGCTCGTCACTGACGGCAGAATATGGGATCCGTCCCACTGAACTCTGGCCCACACTATGTGGCAAGATGGACTCCTAGAGAAGTGATTGGTTATGATGGTTCACATTTTGAATAATGCCCATGTGCCACGTACTTGGATGTATCAGCTCCTCTAAAATTCATGACCACCCCGCAGAGGCCCCCTACTCTGACCCCAACATTGTAGATGGAGGGACAGAAGCTTGGCACCAAGTGCCTTCCAAAGGCCTGTGTGGAGCCGGTTGTGTGAGACTGGAGACCAAGCCCTGGGGGCCTGGGTCCCTCCAAGGGCCTAGTGACTCTGCCAAGGCCAAACAGATAGCAGCACCCACTGTGGCCCACATTTAGAGCCCCTGCCGGCCAAGAGTGAGAAAGGGGAATTCACCTTCGGCTTCTCAACCCTGGTGTGGACTTGGCCGGGCACTCAGCAAGGCCTGGAGCTGCTCCAGCAGCTTCAAACCACCGGCGAGCTTCCAGGGCACCACAGAGAGAGCTCAGATGCTTCCAGAGAAAATTCCACACAGGGGCTCTGCCAGCAGAAGGAGAGGCTTTATGGGATGGTGGGGGTGCAGTGCCATGGGGGGCGAGGCATCGACTGTGTGGTTTGGACCGTGGGCAAAAGGTTGAGGGTCCTGCTCCTCTGCCCCAATATCCAAGTATATTGGATATAGGGAAAGTGTGTCCTTTCACAACAGAGCCACAGTCTTGCTAAGCACTAAGCCAGAACAGATTTGCTGAGGCACAGACCCCCTCACTTGTTGAGCCCCTCCCTCTTCTTGTTGGGGCCTTGGTGTTGCTGTCCCCTTGCAGGTACACAACTGGACATGTAATGTGGGGTCTCTCCCAACAGTTGATGACCTCTGTAATTATGCGACTGTAGCAAACAGCCACTGCGTGGGACGTGGGTTCTGATCTCCTAGTGGGAAGTGTTTTATGGAGATGATCTCATTGCAGACTCGGTTTCCTTGAACAGCCATCTCTGCCAGGGTGGTTTCTTCCCGGCCCTGTGGGTGCACCTGTGTGAACAGTCTTGGCAGCCTGAACACATGCCATCTCTACCTGACATGTACCACTCTTGGTGCTGTAGTTCTAGAACTGATCTGGAAATGCTTGCAGCCTGTCTCCCTGTGGGGCTCCGGCAGTGAGTTCCTCTACGCTGAGGACGAGATGTCTTCCAATCCCAGGAGTGAGGGCTCAGGGAGTTCACAGTCACCACTCCTTGGGCAAAGGGTGAAAAGCTGTCATGGTGGGCACACATTCCAGCCCCTGAGTGTGCACACATTTAATGGTGTCATCTCCCAGAATAATCCCCAGCAAAGTGTGCCTGACACCCAGGATGAGGCCAACCCACAGACATGGCAGGTCCTTACAGCAAAGGATGTTTGCCAAGGAGGCTGGAATTTTTCTGTGAGGATCTGTAATTTGTCCTTAAAGGGAAAATTCTCTAGATTTCAGTTTAATAACTGATGCGAGTGTTAGAAAATTACAAATGAGACATTAAATAGTAACAGCTTTTCCCAGAGACAATGGCAGCTTCCGCTGTGACAAGAGACATCTGAACAGCGCAAGCCACAGAGAGACACTGTCCACTGCCCTTCAGGAGCAGCTGCATTGGGCCTCCCACCTTCAAATGTCCTGTAGGTGTCTAGTGCCCTGAATTTCAAAGTGTGGGGTTGTCTTGAGGAGGAAGCAATGGCAGCAGGAGGTCACACAGACGGGGGAATCCTGGCTCCTGCCACTCACCGCTGTAGGAAAAGTTCAAGTTCTTGCATGGACTCTGCTTGTTCACCTATAAAATCAGATTGTTCTTGAGTAACAAACCAACTGAAAATTTGGTGGCTGTAACAATAATGTTTTTTTTTTTATTAAAGTAGCATTGATATACAATCTTATGGTGATTTCAAGTACACAACACAGTGGTTCAACATTCACCCATATTATCAAGTCCTCACCTCTTCCAGTGTAGTCACTGTCCATCAACGTGGTAAGAGGTTATACAGTCATTAACTGTCTTCTCCATGCTGTGCGACCCTTCTTATGACCAACCTATACTGTGACTGAGAATTATAGTGCCCCTTAATCCCCTTCTCCCTCTCCCCCAATCCTCCCCAACCCCTCCCCTTTGGTAACTGTTAGTGTGTTTTCTGTGTCTGTGAGTCTACTGCTATTTTGTTCCTTCTGTTTTGCTTTGTTTTTATACTCCAGAAAGAAGTGAAATAATTTATTTGTCTTTCTCCACTGGCTTATTTCACTGAGCAAAATACCCTCTAGATCCATCCGTTTTGTTGCAAATGGGAGGGTTTCTTTTCTTTTTATGGCTAAATAATATTCCATTGTGTATATGTGCCATATCTTCTTTATCCATTCATCTGTTGGTGGACACTTAGGTTGCTTCCCTATCTTGGCTATTGTAAACAATGCTGCGATAAACATAGGGGTGCATATGTCTTGAATCTGGGATCTTGTTGTCTTCAAGTAAATTCCTAGGACTGGAATCACTGGGTCAAATGGTGTTTTTAGTTTTAGTTTTTTGAGGAACCTCCATATTGCTTTCCACAATGGTTGAACCAATGTACATTCCCACCGATAACAGTTGTTTTTTGATATTCTCTCTCCTAGGTCTGGGGGTTGAGTGGGCCCAGCCAGGTGACTCTCATTCAGGTCTCTGGTGTCTGTCTGGAGGCAGACAGTACCAGCTCACAAGAGCCAATGATTAAATTTTCAGGAATATTTGCCAACTGGTTGGTAAACACAGGTGTCATCAAAAATTGAATTACATAAACTTATAATTAAATAAACCATATTAAAAACAAAAGCAATACATTATCCATACCTATCACTTCCACAGTATTTTACGGTATGCCACTTTTATTTATGCCCTGGGATAATTCCCACCTGTTGTATGTGGTAACTTACAGTGTAATGGGTGCTCTTGGGCATTTCTTCCCAAGTTCACACAATGAGAGCATGTAAGCAACTGGACTGCACTGCTGTCCTCCATTGGAGGGCTGTGGTCATGCTGGACCTGAGCGTGCAAGATGGGGAAACAGGTTGGTACAGCCTTTTGGGGGAAATACGATCTGCCCCAGGGAGAACGGATAGATGCAAAGGGACCCCTTGGTACCAGACGCAGATTCCTCCTGAGAGGCACTGTTATAGTTGCATAGACATATCTCTGCTCAGTGTGGCAGACAAACCCTTCAAGGAGGGCCTTGCCCTGAGCCCACACCCCACCACCGCTGGAGGGAGAGGCCATCTTATTTATTCTCCTGGTGTCCCCAAAGCCCAGCACACAAGTTTGGACTCACATTACTGTTGGATAGATGAAACATTTCCTGGTCATCTTGAAGCTCAATCAGCAGCTGATGGAAGCCTCTGGAGCCACTGAGCTGGGAGTGTTGAATGTGCCAGCTGTTCTAGCTGCAGGGGCCACACTACCTTGTGGGCATCCCCCTCTGTGTGCAGGTGTTGCCTTGGCTGGGTCACCAGGTGGGAAAGCAAAAGCAGGAAATGAACACTACAGGAAGCCTCCTCAAGGACTCATCCACACCTGACCACCCCGGGTGAGCACTGGCTTTCCTGGTGCCTCCCACAGCTGAGTCAGGGGTCAGGACACCAAGGCCCCTCCTGCTCTGATGTCTTCTTCCTGGGGGTTGGGGCCAGGGGCCTACCCCGTCCTGCCATCTGCTTCAGAAGCACACTGCCTGCCTCCCCTGCCTCAGCACTACCTCCAGCCCAAGCCAGTTTCTTCTCTTCCAGCCCAGGCTGACTCAGCCTGGCCGGAGGTTCTCAGCCGGACTCAGCCGCAAGTGAGAGGCAATCAACCTGACCACTGTCCACGTTGGGAAGCCACGTGCCCTGGAGGCCAGGCGCCCCAGGACCTACAATCTTTCTATCACTTCAGACATCCCTTGCTGGCCCCTCATGGCCACAGGCCTGCCTGCAACACCTCAGGGCCCCAGGCCTCATGCAACAATGGCTGGAGGCCATGGGAGAGAAGGAGGTGTGCCCTATGCTTGGTCACACGTTAAGAGTGAGCCCAGAGCCCCCAGAGCAGTAGCCTACTGGCCAGAGGTGTGTGCATGCCCCTCCTGATGACTTGCCACTAGGCTGGTGCGCCAATGACCCCCTTCATCTCGAGTTCTCACTGGGGTCAAGGGAGCCTCATATCCCTGAGGCCCCTGGCCATGGGGTCTTGAACAGTCAGGCAATGAAGAGGGTGAGGGAGGCTGCTGGTACCTTGGCCGCAGGGCCAGCCAGGTCTGGGGCCAGCAAGGCTCAGCAGAGTCTCACTCCAGCAGGCAGCATGGCCCAGCACCCAGGGAGCTGGGGTGAGAAGCAGGGCGTGGAGGGGAGGCCTGGGGGGTGGGCTGGAGCACCTTAAGTTCACCAGACAAGGACAGATTTATTTCCTACTGGCTGAATAATGGGGGGAGGGGACAAGGTCAAGAGGCCACAGGGCTGAGCTGAGAGAGATAATGGGGCCTTGGGAGAGGGACAGGCAAGTCCTTGCTACCAACAGCACTGGTGCCAAGAAGCACATCCCGAGTAACCCTGGAACTGGCTTCTTTCTTCCTTCCCTCTCCCTTTGTTTCTTTGTCCCTCCCTTCTCTCCCTCTCTCTCTCCTTTTAAAAAATCTTTCAGTCCAAACATTGCATGTGCTGCCAGCTATTAACACAGAAAGAATGCTGTTGTTAACTCTTTCCAGTCTGTGAATTCATAAACCCAGACCCTTTTGGATTTTTCTCTCAAACTTTGAGCATTTTTTGAAAGCATCTTGATTTTTTTTAACAAACAAGGTCAGGAAGTACCCAAGAGCACATCCATGCAGAGATCAGTATTCGGACCCTAGTTCTGCAGGCGACAGGAAGTGCCGGGCTGCGCAGGAAGCCCTGGCTGCCATGAACATACTCTTGGCTGTTTGAAAAGATCCAGCAAAGCTTCAACTTCAAAAATAACTGTTCAATGTGGTTGAAGTTGGGTGTGGGGGATTTTCTAAAATCAAAAGCAGCTGTTTCATTTCATTTAACTGCTAGGCTGAGTCACACAGACTTCCTGCAAGAATCAGGAAGCCTTAGGTCCCCTACTTTGCACAGCCTTAACCAGTATACAGTGATTCAAGTCCCTTCATAACTGTTTACATTTGTGTGCAGAGCACCCACAAATTCCCTGGGGGCAGAGACTAAGTCATTAATGGCAGCTTTCTAAGAACATATTGCTGTGTGAGCAGCTGGCACACATGGGCATGACATGTCCTCAAGTTATCCTGGATACGTGAAGTGCAGTGCTTTGTGGGAAACCTGTGGGAAATGCTTTGCTCACATCGAGACTCAGGGCAAGACTTACTTCTCAGGGGCTTTTATTTTATTGTTGTAAAAGTAGAGCATGCGCACAAAAAAATTCAAATGTTGCAGGAGGGCTCAGAGGTGAGAATTAGAAGCCAACTCTCTTGTACTCAGATTCCCTGTTCGTCTTCTAAGTGGTGGAGCCCAATTGTACCAGACGCATCATTCCAGAATTTCTGGAGCATGTGCAAGTGTGAGTTTGCATAGTATACATAGTATAGCATTAATCTGTGTGTCTATGTATGTATGCATATGACATTTACAGTCACATGCTTTCAGATCTAAACATATATATACCTACAAATATAGTGCAATAGGGGGAAGTGACCTAAGGTTCTTCCCAGAGGAGACCTGGGTGCTGTGTGTGACTACTCTCTGTCTTGGCATTTCAGCTAGCCAGGGCCAGGACTGTCCCAGGGTCAGGAGCTAGGGAAGCAGTGTTGTGAGTGCATTTTGGAAGCTGATGGCCTGGGTTCAAACCTCACCTCCTTCATGGGACTAGCGCTGCCGCTTTGTCACCTTTAAACCCAGGGTGTCTGGTCTCCGGTCTGAGAAACGTGAGTTCAGAGGATTCAGTGATGCACATGGAACTCTAAGCACAGGGCTTGGCTGACGCATGCTCATCATCTGTATTATAAACCACTATTGGGAAACTCACCCCAACTGCCTGCCCGCACTGGCGCATCCTCCTAATGTCTCCCTGAACAGCGGTGACAACCCTCCACTCATCTCCCTCTGGGTTTCAGCCCCCTGAACCCAATGCATGCCCCCCTGAAGTGACCTTCCCAGAGCATAGGTTTTGTCTTGGTCCTGCTGAAATGTCACCGTCTCTTTGAATTCTCCTGCAACTGCTTCCCACAGCTGGTCACCTCCTCCATGGCCTAGATACCTGTATGCCCCTGAGTCTATGGGATCCCAGGGTGCCCCCCCACCCCCTCACTGTGTGTGTCCAGCATCTTGTGTGTAACTGATGAATGTCACACCTGTGGGCAAATTAATTACAGGTAAAAAGAAATCCTCTGAACCTCATGACTTTCGTATTGTTTCTGCCATCTGCAGAGCATGCAGACCCTGAGGAAGTGTGACCCAGAGCTCACCTCTGGAGGGGACAGGACAGCTGGAGAGGAGATCACACAGCATGAAGGGGAAAACTCATGCCTCCCATGGCAGCACGCAGCAGGATTTGGGAATGATGATACATCCCCCTGAAGTGGCAGGAGGAGATGCAGTGACTCCCAAGTTAGGTCTGTGACTAGCCCCTGCACCCCAGAGATGACATGCAGGGATGGGACTGACCCACCTCAGGGGCATCGGGGAGCCGGAAGCCCCCCAGTGCCAGGAGGATAGTGAGGCCTTCACCCACACCAGATGTCCATCCAAACTGTGTTTATCAAGGCAGGCAAGTGGATCTGACATTTAAACCCATCCCCCTCCTGTGGGATACAGTGCCACCCTGGGGGGAGGTGGACCCAGAGGACACTCATCAGCTGAGCACATGTCAGCTGGCCCAGTAGGGGCT